GAAGAAAAGGATTTTCTTGTACTATAAGATTTACCCCTCCAAGAATGCGCGGTGCAAAAACCGAAAGAAATAGAAAAGAATATTGGGAACGAAGTAAAAAGTTATTAAATGGTAGTTTAATTACTTTATTGCTACCAAACCAATATGCCAAACAGCAAACTAACGAGTCTACCAGTGGAAGTACTTCTATCAATAGCACACAAATGTATTCACCTTATTTTGGTGTGGTAATATCAAGAAATGAGAAGGTCTTAGCTAAAAGTCCTGATTATGCTGATATTAATATTAATTTTACAGATCTATCAATTTATCCTATTGCTTTAAATGAAATGTCAAATTCAAAAGTCCCTACAGGAAATAGATTTATGGTTGAATCAACTGGAGTGTATTTAGAAGCTTACTATCATGTTCTTAAAACTATTCAAACTACAAATTCTTCTTCCCTTCCCTTCGAAAAATATCTTACACCTAATTTTAATAATATTAATGATGGGAAAGGGAAAGATAATAATATATCAAGTAATGCTATAGATTTTGAAGTTGAACCTCCACTATATACTAGAGCACCTAGTTTTGAATTTGATTTATCAGTTATATGTAGAAATAAAAATCAAAATTTGAAATTAAATGTTGCAAAAACAGACAATTATGATGAAGTAGCTAAAAAAATTAATGAAAGTTGCAAATTAGATGAAACTCAAGGTATATAGTAAGCAGCATTCAGTATGATTTCAAAAAAAAAATTCATTAACATATTTTTATAATTTTCTACATTAGCGAATGCATTAATCTCTGCTTTGACACGTGAAATTGCTTTAATTGAAGGACCACCCGGTACTGGAAAAACTGTAGTTGGTGTTGAGATTATGAAAGTATTATTGGCCAAAAAAAATCGAAAAACAAAAATTGGTCCTATTCTCACCATTTGTTTTACTAATCATGCTCTTGACCAATTTTTGGAGGTACAGTACAATGAATTATCCTTATACTATTGAATCTGAAATGTACCATATCGTTTTTAACATACTTTATTTGCTTACACTCCCCCTTCACAGCATTTGCTTGATGCAAAAATAACGAATATAGTCAGGTTAGGATCTCGAACAAAATCTGATAAGATCAAAGAATTTTGTCTTGAAGAAGTTTGCAGAAGCCGCGCCCGTAACAGAACAGAATCCCGTTTAATAGCACTATTACATGAGAATTTAGAAAAAATTGAAGATAGAGTTAATGAAATCAAAAGTACTTTATTCAAAAAAGGGCTTAAATGGGCTGATATACGACAATATCTGATGAATGAAGAAAGAACATTCTATGATGCTTTTTGTAAAGCAAATGATAGTGATTTACCTAGCTGGGTTTTCAATACTGAAGAAGGGTTTACGACCAGAAAGAAACAGAAGAAACGACCTTTATTCGAGAGATGGGTAAATGGGGAAGATATTGAAATAATTAGAAGAACACAGAAAGCATTTTCAAATCAACCACAGAAAAATAAGAAAAATAAAAAGGATCCAAGCTCGAATACATATGATGCATTAAAGGTTGAAGATGAAATCAAAGAAATCACAAGTGATGATGTCGAAACACAAACCGATTATAAAACATTACAATGGATAAAAGATTATGTAGTACCAAAAACTAACCGTACCATAGAAGAATTATTAAGTTCCTATTCAATTTGGCAAATGTCAAGAGTCGAAAGAAGAAAACTTACTGATTATTGGAGTACCAAAATTCGAGACGAACTTATAGAAGAATTATCAAATTTACAAAATAGTCACGATAATCAACGAAAAGAAATGGATGAAATTTATGATGAAGGTCGTCGTCGAATATTATTAGCTAGTGATGTTATTGGTATGACCACAAATGGCGCAGCTAAATTTCAAGCTCTAATTAGGTCTATTGGTCCCAGAATTATTGTTTGTGAAGAAGCTGGTGAAGTACTTGAGGCCCATATTCTTAGTGCACTAACCCCTTCAACTCAACATATAATATTGATTGGAGATCCAAAGCAGCTTCGACCGAATATCGCTACCTATTCTCTCAGAATGGATTCTACCTTGGGAAAAAATTATCAATTAGATAAATCATTATTTGAAAGATTAGTCGAAGGAGATAATGCAGCCAAAATTGGGTCAGTTCAACTTTTAACACAGAGGCGAATGAGAAAAGAAATTTCTGATTTAGTTAGAGACACTCTTTATCCAAAGTTAATTGATGGTGAAAATACTGTCAAATACCCGAATATACGTGGTGCTCAACATAATGTATACTTTATTGATCATAAGAATCCAGAAGACTCTGGCGGTGATTTTGCAATGCAATCTCACGTGAATAAATATGAAGTTGAAATGGTAGTGGGAATGGTAAAATATTTCATTAGGAATGGATACACTAAATCCGATGATATAGCCGTGCTTACTCCATATTTGGGGCAAATGATTAAACTTAGAGATGCTTTATCTAAATCATTTGAGACAATAATAGATGAAAGAGACGCACAAAAACTTGAAGAATTAGAAGAAAAAGATGAAGAAGATGATGAAAATGACATTAAGGAAGAAAAAGATAATGTTAGTGGGAGCATAAGTGTTGCTTCAAGAAAATCATTGCAACAACAAATAACTTTAAGAACTGTTGATAATTTCCAAGGTGAAGAAGCAACCATAGTTATTATTTCGTTAGTTCGTAATTACTCCGGATCTGGTAAACATGATTCTATTGGATTCCTAAAAAGTAAAAATAGGAGCAATGTTCTTTTGTCGCGTGCCAGACAAGGAATGTATCTCATTGGTAATTCCGAATTAATGGCATCAGAATCTAAAGATATGTGGACTCCTGTGATAGAATTATTACAAAAGCGAAAACAAATTGGTTCAGGTATGCCAATCGTATGTAATCGACATCCTGATTACAAGAACATCATAGATAAAGCCGAAAAGTTTAAAGAAGTTAGTCCTGATGGTGGATGTTATGAGGTACGTTCTCGTGTAGCATCATTTTAATAAGAAAATGAAATTTGTTCACAATTTTTTTTTATTTTTAGCCTTGCAGATCGTCTCTTATTTGTGGACACGTTTGTATTTATAAGTGCCATTCAGACAATGATGATCATATTGGAATTAAATGCCCTAAGAAATGTACAAGATTATATCAACCATGTGGCCATCCATGTCCAAAATTATGTTTTGAAGATTGTGGAAAATGTGAATTTTCTATAGGTGATATTATATTACCTGGCTGTGGTCACGTATTAAAAAATGCACAATGTTGGCAAAATCAAGATAAAGACACTATCAAATGTATAACTATGGTTGAAAAACAATTAATTCATTGCGAACATTCAAAAGTAGTTCATGTAAGTAAATAATTTATACACTTGATATTGTTTTTTTTTGATGATAATTGTTTTTAATATATACGGTATTTCATATATTTAGTGTTTTGAATCCATCGATAATGCTATATGTAGAGAAAAATGTGGAAAATTGTTGGAATGTGACCATGTATGCTTAATGGAATGTTACAGATGTCAAAAACTTTCAAAACTAGAATCAAAGAACGAATCAAACGAAGAAACAAATAAAATTACCCAAGAAATTCATGGAGAATTAAATAAAATAACTCGAACAAACCATGGAAATTGTAAACATATTTGTAACAGATTATTATTCTGTGAACATATATGTAATACATATTGTCATGAAGGGAAAGCGTGCCCACCGTGTAAGAACAAGTGTACTGTATCATGCATGCATACGTCATGTGATAAAGAATGTTTAGAACCTTGCGCTGTATGCGCTGAGAAATGCTTATGGAAATGTGAGCATCAAGGAAAATGTGAATTAAGTTGTGGAGCACCTTGCCACAGATTACCTTGTAATGAAAGGTGTAATAAACAATTGGAATGTGGACATGTGTGTGCTGGAGTTTGTGGAGAAAATTGTCCTTCAGAATTATTTTGCGTTATATGTGCTCCTATAAATGTTAGAAGTCAAGGTATGATTATTATTTATTTTTTAATTGCCATTAATAATATTTTATCAAAAAATTTAAGTTAATTAATTGTTATTTAATATTATCTCTATATTTTTTTTATAACAAACTTCATTTAAAAACAGTGCCAGATTTAATTATGGGCGCTACATTTAGTGATATAGATTGGGATGAGGAAAGGATGATCGTCCTTTCTTGTGGGCATGTATATACCATGGAAACTATGGATATGCACATGGAAATGAGAGAATATTATGAAGGCTCAGTTGAAAAGGGATGGAAATCAATCAAATTTCTTTCCTCAGCTTCATTAACAGATGCAAAAACATGCCCAGCATGTAGAATTCCAATTAAAAATGTTAAGAGATATGGAAGAATCATTAATAAATGCGTCTTGGACACACAAAACAAAAAATTCCTTACAAAATATGATAACCAATTACGAGGAATCACCAAACAAATGATATTGATTGAACTACAAATTAATAATAAGAGAAATGAATTAAAAAATAATTTAGGCAAAATACCTCATGATGATTCAAGACCAAGAGAAGTCGTATTTAAAGAACATAACTTTATAAATATTGAACTACCTGAAATTATTCCTTATGAATATTTCGAAAATATTGAAAAATATCATGGATTTGGCAATAATTGTAATATAGTTTGGCTTGTTCATGTTGGTAGATTATTAAGAAATTATAGGAAATTAACCATAATTCTTTGTGCAACAAAAAAACCACCTCATAAAAAGGCTTTTGAAGCCGCTGTCTCTAGTTTGTAAGTATAATGAGCGGTTTTTTTTAAAAAAAATAATCTTCTTTTCAATTTAACTAACTCAATATTTTTTTTTTTAAGATACCAAGCTAAATTAGCAAGAAATGACGCTGAGAGAGATTTAATTTCTCAGTTATCCAATCTTAATATTACAGAAGACCTAAATACCAATGATTCAAATTTTTCACCTGGCAGAGTTTTGCAAGAAACACTTTCTCAAATAGGAATTTCAGTACCAAAGGTAGATCATAGGATTTATTTAGACGCACTTTTTGAGTTAATTAATATACAAAAAATTCTTTTCCACGAAGTTTTATTTATAATTCAAGAAATTTCTAAAGTATCAAAAGTTACCAATCAAGAATCCATAAACATTAATGAAATCTGGAAAAAATTTGCTGAATGGCTACAGCTTTCTATTTTAAAACATCTAAATGTTTTTAAGAAAGTAGCAGAATCTACTCATTATGGTAGACATCTACTTTTAGCCAATGTAGAAATATTAGAATTTGATCTTAAAATAATTCAATATCAATTAAGATATCCATCTAATGGAAGTAGTATAATTGATAAAGAACTCCGAGATAATACTATAGAAAACTGTAATAAAATTGTGGAAGGCCTTTCGGGTATACTTACAAGTGAAGGATACAATGCTGCTGAGGAGACATTTAAGAAAGGTATTCATGAGAGATTAAGCAACGTATTAAAAAGTTGCAATGATGTTAAATCTAGTGCAGAGAATCTTGGAAAACCTTTAAGCGTTGAAGAAACATTAGAAATTCATCGTGCAATGAAGACCGAATTTAAACGATCAGGTATGTAAAACATCAATCAACATTTTTAATGCTCAAATCTTTTAAATAACTTTACCATTTATGTTTATTAGGACATTGGTTTGAATGTCCCAACGGTCACCCGGTAAATAATTGAACATATATAATTGAAATATTTATTTTATAGTTATTTTTTACTTATTTTATATTTTTTTAGTATACGATTGGGGAATGTAGCGGAGCGATGGAGTTGAGTAGGTGCCCAGATTGCAATGTAGCCATTGGTGGAAGAAGCTATCAATTAACCGCCGGAAATAGAGTAAATGAATATTTCGGTAATTTGTAATACTATTCTCCGCAGAAAATTTTATTAGTTCATATTCTCGGTTTTGCGCATTTTCTCTCTCTTTTTTTTTTTTCTTTATTTATAAAAAAAATATATTGTAAATTTCACCTTTATGAAAATTTTAACGTATTCGGATTTGATAATTCCAAAAAAAATTTTTAGTCTTCATCGCAAATTAATTATCAAAATCAGGCTTATCAAAAATTTGCTGAATTTGTTCATCCGTAGGATTTTTGATAAAGTTTTAAAAAGTTAAATAAAGTTAACAATAGTAGACATCTAAAATTTTTGTCCTTAATAATTGGTTATAAAATAAATTACATAATAACAATTAATTCTCTATCACGATTATAACTTTACTCATGCATCGTAAAAAAAATCTGAACGTGAAACATTTTCCTCGGATCAACAAACACCAGAAGTAACGTTTGAATTTTTTTAATGAAAAATATTGCAAAGTTTAAATTTCATTCTTCAACAATTTCTCACATGATATTTGGTTAAACGAAAGTTTTATGCATTGAACTTCATTATATACTAACCGAATTTTTTTTAATTTCCTTGGCTCCTTAATAATACGAATCTTTGAACAATGATTAGAATTTCTGACGCATAACTTCCTAAATAGTTCAAAACACTTATCAAACAAGTCCGTTCATCTATATCAATAAATACAGTTAGATTATAAATGCTATAAGATAGATTGTCTATAAACATAAGCGCGGGATAATTTTTTTTTTTAATAATTTGTAATCATGTCACCGTTAAATCCCATATACGCGTAAAATTTCTGAATACTTTTCTACTAGAGTTTTGGTCACACATTAATGATGAACAATGATAAATAAAGTTCTCTTAAATTGATGCATGGAAACATAAAAGTTGATAATTTCCTTAGATTTAATTTCGAAATTGTAATCTTTTGTGCATGTTTACGTGATACATTACTACTGCATATGCGGACAGTTGAAAACATATCGGACACCAACCTTCCGTTAACAATATCACTGTTATCTTGTGGAAAATTTGTAGTATTTTGTCCATACCAATCCGTGACGAGTGCAACGCGACGCTCAGCGATATATCTAAAAAATCTAAAATTATAGACCATTTCGTGTCATCGGAAAATACTTCTCGTGATTGGACTTAAGTTCCGAAGTACTCTCTTAAATCATCAGAAAGTTCGACAAAAGATGAGCTGTCTTCATATAATTGAATATCAGTATCTGCTAATATTTCATCATCAGTTCCATTGAAATCAAATAAAATTTGTGCATTGGGTCTTCAATTGGCTCTCTGGTATCGTGGTTCTAGAAATAAATAAGTAAATATTATAAAATTAATATCTCTAGCTTAAAAACTTATTTAACGACGTAAATTTACAAAAATAAAATTTACTTAGAGAGGTTCGAAATCAGGAGATTTTTGTTCTAAACCATAAGAAACAGTGATTGATAGTAATCCTTTTTAAGTTGCGACGCGATTTTATATAAGGTTTTCATCTAACGAACCCAATCACATATCTAAAAGGTTAAAAATATAAGTATCATTTTCTCAAGAACGGGATAACTTTACGAACCTTCAATTTAGCCATGATCAATTTTGTATTTTGTAAGAAGGTTCGCGCATTTTCATATTTTGCTTTCTGTTTCTTTAAATCTTTATTAACATTAGATAAGGTTTTAAACCATCCAGCATCATTAAACATTGGCCAAGGAATCCTCCTTTGTACATCCTTGAAATAAAGTTATCTTTACCCCCCTAAAAAAAAATTTAAAATATAATGCAATATAAAATCATTAATTTACCTAATGACATCCATACTCCATCAACGCAACGCTGAATTAAAAATTTATAAATTAGTTTTTTATAAATTAAAAAAAAAAAAAGTAACAGGGAGATATTACTAATTACCATTGCGGAGCCATCAAAGGATTTTCCGCACGATTGTTCACCCATACTAGAAACAACTTTTACTTTTAATACTTAAATATTCCTTCATGCCATCCAAAAGAAATATTCTTTGCTATGCTATCCACATGATGACCAGAACCATCATCATGTTCCATATAATTTGAAGACAATACATCCCTAAGAGGTTGAAATAAATTATTTCTTGCTATCGCAATTTGTATAGGAATTAAACAACTAAGTTGAATGATCCATTCTCCTAATTTGTAATTTTGATGAATATCTCGTCAAATTCTCAATATGAAGCTCTTAGAAAGTTATGACAGATGTGGAAAATCTCTTTAATATTGAGGTAGGTTTTTTTTAGTACGTTTCAAACCTTCAAAAGTTTCAGTAATGTACCCCTCAAATTTCTCGCGACTTCTTCATTCTCAATATCGAGAACGATTTTTCAAATTTATAAAACGATCTTGCTCGGGATCAACTGGATATTTCTCAAACATCAATCTATAGGCATCGATGAGACCATTTAGTTTTGTTTTCGGTTCAATACAGAATTCAGTCCAACTATTAAATTTGCACGTAGGTTTAAAATGCCGGTAACTCTTAACATTGTATCCAAAATAACATCTACCACATTGAATCTTTCACCCATTAACACAATATATTCTCCTTTTTGAACTTTTTGATCAGATTAAAATGAGTATTCCTTCCTCAATATGAGCATAATGTTATGAGAATCAATTAACGAGTGTCAGTTTTTGCTTTTGAAACGATATTGAGTTTTTCGAGCGTAATTTTAACTATTGATGAGCTGAAACGTTCATTTTTCAAATCAAGTGACATCGAGTGGGTTTGTTGTCTATTTATAAAACGAAATTGTTGGAACACCAAGGATTGAAGAGTAGGCGGCAAGTTAATAACTATTCAAAACGAGAGAGTTAGTTTATTTTTTTATATATCTTATATAAGCTAAAGAGGATATGAAAATTTTTAATTACCTTCATAGTTAGAGTATTCAATCGTTGAAAAAAATAAACATAAGCACGACATATTTCTTTAGCTTTGTTAGTAAGCGCATCCGTGCCATCATCTTCACTATCGGTATATTCACTATCAGTATTATAATCAACGTAAGGTGTTTTAGGTCCTGAATTTTCTCTTATGAATGCTACAATACATGAGCCATCGGGAGAACTTAAATTTTTGCGGTATCAGATGGAAGATCACAAGTAATTGGTCGAAATTGTTGATTGATAAGATTGAGTATACGTGTACGTTTGCCTCTTTCAACAAAGCAAAGTTCTTCGATACTATTGATGAATAAGAAGTGTTGAAATGGTGTTTCTAATAATATCAGGTTAATATTTTATTAATTCATAATATTAATAATCAATTTACAAATTTTCAAAATATTATGCGGGGGAGGGCATCAATAAAAAAGTAACGTCACTTATATTCTCAAGCACCATCAAGAATATCCTCATAGTTAATATGAGTTATTTTGCTAACATAATTGAATTCGTGTCAGTTAAAGTTTGGTAAAATTTTGTATGAAAGTGAAAGTATAGTTATAATCGAAATATAAATGGTAATAAAGAAAGTAAATAAAAAGTAATAAAGTTATAATATTGAAGAATCAATTAAACGAGAAATATAACTGTTTAAATATTTACAATTTTTATTGCTCCGCTATTATGTTTTAAAAATTTAAAGAATGATTCCGCTATCCACTGGTGTAAAAAAATTAATTATAAAAATTACTACCGTTAACATGTTTGTAGATATGTTTTTTAACAAAGTAACAATTATTCTACTTCTACTACTGTATAAAGTATATTTTTAAAAAAAATTAAAAATTGTCTCCATGATGCAAAGTATAAAAAAATATATACTTTTTTTAAATCATCAGTCATTTGTATATTTAATCACGTGAATATGACAATTTAAAGGGATGTGAAATTAAATAATTATAACTTCTTATGAGTATTGTCGTTGTGGGATAGTGCGTGAGATTTCCTAGCCAGCTATCCTCGGGTACGACTCCCACAACGTGCAATATTGGATGCTGTTATGACAACAAGTTTCTAATAAGGTGAATGAATGATTTTCATTCATTCCATGGGATGTTGATGATCCTATCCACCCATGTTATGATAGATGTTCCGGCCAAAGGTTCCCATGTTGGATCAGGGTTTGTTGTCGACTTTGTGGGGTCTAGGTGGTAGTTGGCTATATCAACTATGTGCCCAATTTCCCCAGAGCGTGGGAGTAAGCGTTAACTACCCTGGTTCATACCTAGAGGCAAGATGTCAGCAGTTATTCAATCCACTCAATCTTCTTTATTTTATTTTATACTATTTACTATTAAAATTAAAATAATAATTTATATTGATTATACAATGCCTTAACTTTTTTAAAAAAAGATTAAAAAGTAGTATCACGACGGAGTTATTGTTTCTTGAAAGTTCTGAAATAAGATTATTAGGCTATAGCGAAATAATATTTTAAAAAAAAATAATTGAAATTCTTTATTGAATAGTAAAATAATGCGCTATCTTGAAATCTTTTACATTAAAAAAAACTCTCTATATTAAATTAATAGTGAATGTAATAAATAAATGAGTATAAAAATGATTTAAAAAAAAATACTTTGCGTCATATCTTTACATTGTAAACGTTTACAGGATTAATTTTTTTATTTGTTTATTGGATCGCTTTCAGTTTTTTAGTTTAATTTTTTTTTCTACTTTTGATCGACGTGATTTTTTTTACCGGTTTATTTGTAAATATTCTTTCTTTTTACGTTTTGTTAGTTTCGTTTTCAGGTTCGATCGTTTTTCCAATGTATCGAATATCCTTTAGCTTAGTGTTTTAGGCGAAGAAACCCATTGGAAGAAATTTCTTACAGTTATCTTTGTTTTACTTATGGATTATGAGATAAATATAATTACCATCTCGAACACAAAAACATATGGAAATTGCCACTGGTTCCATTACAAAAGTTTACCTGTCGCTCTAACACCATGCTCAAATTTTGGAATAAATCCTGCATTCCATTTTACTGGATCTGAAGACTTCGAACTATACCAAACGCTATCCATTCGTTTTCCATTTCTTTGATGGCAACGTTGTAGTTTAATAATTTAATTCACACAGTAAATTAAATTGGAATTTTAATATAAAAAATCCACTCATGCTCTTCGTAATGAAGGCTGGTCGAATTTGGAATGTAAAATTAGCGTTAGGAGATTTGATATATAATTTCATTCAACCGAAAGCTTGGTATAGGTGATTTATTGCTTATTATATTCTACATTATGCCCCAACGCCTGAGTCACGAACCATTACCTGTTATGAATATGAATGTTTGACGTATAAAAATAGATATAACTTTAGGTTTTTAAAAAAGAAAAGATTTTCTGTTGTTATAAGATTTAAATTTATTTCTGAGTTTTGTAATTAGGATAGCTCCAGAACTGATTTTTTTTTTTAAATGTAAATTCATGAAGTGGACTCGTATAGTACTCAATTAAGAAACGATGTTGGTCATTATTATTTAACTTCTAAAATAATGAGAAAATTGAAAAATTAAATCGAGAATTCTTGTTCTTAATATGAATACAACGGTAATCACATAGAAAACTTCTAAATGTAACGAAAATATACAAAACTGCAACATTAGATTAATGTATGATTTCAGTACGTATTTTAGAAAAATTTGTGGAAATCATATTCTCCAGTTTATGCCTTGATCCTTTTAACATTGACTTGAATGTTAAGAAAATGTGATCTTATAAAAAATCTTTAAGATAAATTACAAATAGTCATTTGATAAATGAATGATTTTACTGCGTTGAATATATTCTTTATTGTTTTATAGTTGTCATTACGAATCATTTTCATAATGAAGTAAAATGAAGTTTTTATTTAAAATACAAAAATGAAAAATAAAATCCAACTTGAAACCAACGTACAAATAAAACAACTAATAAAGATGTAATTCATTACTCCGCGTTTTTCATCAAGTCTAAGAGGATTTTTCTCATAATAATCTTTCCTTTCATTCTTCTTCATATCCATTACACCATCACACCAATTTTTTGACACAAAGAATAAGCTGATAGTTACTATTATAGCTATTATACTACTGATCACATAAAATATCATTACCATATCGTAGTTGCCTTTGTCCATATCTTGTAATAATCCTGCAATTATATCATAACTTGTTAATCCAATATTTGAACTTGATTTATATATCCCTAATGCGGTACCAATATAATCTAAAGGTATTAGTATTAATATTGATGTCAATGATGCTACTTGTCCTAATGAAAGTGATATTGAAAAAAAAGCCATTCCAATTATCGGAGTAAATACTAATGTGAATCCAAGGAGACATATTGATATGATGAGAAATACTGCGGATACAATCACTAAAGCAAGAAGAAAAAGAAGGAAAGGCATTAACATACATATCAAGATCAAGAAAAATGAACATTAATCCTTACAGGTCAAGGAACGATTTCCGAAACGATCTAATAAGTATCCAAGAAAAGGTGAAAGAAGGATTGGGAATAATTGAGAAATACTAGAATTGTAAGCCGCGATTTCATCCGTAAGGTTCCATCGAATTTTTATTAATTCCCTATAAAAACAAATGTAAATTAGTTTTTAATCACAAATTTAGTTATAAGTGAATGAGTTGGATATTTACGTATTAAGGGTTAAAAATGAAGTCCACACACTATCCAATACAATTTCAAGTGAAACAATGATCCAATAAATAGCAGGAAGAATCAATAATATTTTAGGATCAAAATGTTTCTTTTGTTTTAACTTCAATAATTCTTTGGTTTTTATCCTCTTGTGTTTGATTTTCATCAAAAGAACGTACGTGAGGTTGGTTAACAACGAAAATATAGAGAGAAATGCTGCAAACTTAAGAAAAGAACGAATTAATTCATTGACATAAGACTTCAAATAATGCAGAAATTAATATACCCAAAATGCCCATTTATATGATCCTGTAACCTTTGTGATTGGGACAACTGTTATAATTGCCAAGAAGGAATACT